GGTGAGCAACACGTTCCACAGTGATTCTGCTAAGTGCAAAGCAAATCACGTTTGACTTGATATTGCTGCTCCGGGTTAAACATTTCATCCTCGAGCATACTGAATGGTTGGAAACCCGTCAAATATGCCGTGTTCTTTGATGATACGCAATGAGGAGTCGCAGATAAAAAGGGTTATCGTATCGCATGATTCGCATATTTTGGCTCGACACCTGTGGAGATCGTGGATGTGTTCAAACTGGTACACAAATCTGATTGTTCCATTTTCACTCTATCCCAGCTTATATCTACAATTTCACTGAGCGCATTAGTCAACCAATACTTAGTTTCTTTCATTTCATTTTATTGTTTATCACAGTACTCACTGTAGCTCGTGTTCCACATTTGTGCAATTTTTCGACTGGACAAGATGCCATTGAAATGCTTGTGCAAGAATCCGATTCAAATGTGATAAAAGATTGCTCACGTGTAAGAGGTAGAGGAGCAGTGAAGAAAGCGCATGTCAACTGAGCATTTCGCGAAAATGTTTGTGATTATGATAAGCTGTAGCTAAGGCACTACTGGATGCAGTCGCCCGGGCACTGACGAAATCGGATGACGTAGTCATCAAAGGTTATTTCAACAGCCAGGTTCAATGAAGGCTCGAGAGATGCGCTTCTATTTCGTGAATCGCGTTTTCACTTAATGTGATGGGCTAAACCAATAACTTAGGGCACGCCCTTCAATTACCTACGCTACATTCTCGTGTTCATCTTCACGTCGGATATTATCGTGTTTGATTTATTACTATCTCAATTCAAAGTGAACCTAGGATCTGCATATACGTATTGTCGCCAGGACATGCTCCCACTGAAAACCGCGAATTCTGTGCCCCGGGTAAATCATGTTTCATGATACTAGTAAATGTGCTTGCCTAAAATAGAAACGCAGGCGGGCTGGCTAGAAGACTACACTTACTTGCACCCCTCCTGACACGATGACATCAGTAGGCAGTACTAACATTCGCTCGCTATCCACGGAGATTTCGGATTTCACCTCCATTCTAAATACATACATTAATTCCAACTCATGTGTTCTATGTATGCAAGAAACTCGGTTGAATCAAAACGTTTAAGGACCTGCTCGTACGAATAGATAAATGGCTTCGGTTCCTACAGGCAGGGAAGGCAGCAAAGTAGGGGAAAACCTTGAGTTGGTATGGCAACCTACCACAACGTCTCCTGGTGCGACAAGTCAGAAGTGATCTAACTGAAAAATGCATTGACTGTTTAGCCGTTCGTAGTCACTCCAAAATGTCCTGTCAAAAGTACAATCATTACTAATGTGCATATACATCTCCTTCGTGTTCCCAACCGGAAATCTCTGATTCTTTTTCCAGTGATGAAACTGTTAGGCTTCCCCTGTTTTCCAAAGCATCCTCAGCCGCAGCTCCTGATGGTCTTTTTCTGACACTTTTCAAATAAGGAACAGCTTACTTAGCCAATATATTG